ATATTCCTTGGATGAAACTGGAAACATCCACAATCTCAAAGTCTCCCCAGACTAAAATGGGTCCTTCGGGACAAGGCAGGTTTAGGTAGCCAGTACCTTCAAAGCTGACCTAGAGTTCAGAGATGGGAAAAGATGTTCAACATGTTGTTTACATAATAACATTAATTTGCTGTGGTATAACATTTTTTTTAAGTGCTATCCTTGCAGCAAGGTAGCTGTAGCGTCACTAAAAAATTTAAAAATAGAAACCAGAAGAAGTAATTTTTGATCCTAGTTTTGCTACTTCACTAGTATTGCAGCTTCGGGCAAGTCACTTGCTTCAGTTCTCAGAACTGTAAAGTAGGGATAGGACTGACTCTGCAAGCTCCTGAAAGGCTCAAGGTAGAGTCAGTAAAGGAAAGCGTTTTTCAGGTGTTACAATGCGAAGTCTTGTTATTAATCATCCACATATAAAAATTCAATAGTTTTTGACACAGTGAGCTTGATTACTCAGCATAAAGACAAAAAGAGCTCAAAGACCATGGAATATTTATAGACTCATTATAGTGATAAGGAAATTGAAGATTCCCTAGTTGAGGCATGTGATCAAGATCATCAAAAGCACAAAAAGCCAGAACTCTCAGCTTGGAGCAGGAAGAATTCTGCTTCATAAACGGAGCCTTAACCAAGACACAGGTGGCTCCCATTTGTAACATTCTTAAGAAAAGGATCTCCATTACCCTCCCTGGACACTGATTTTATCTGCACTGGTGTTTTTTTCTTTACCAGGAACAGTAACTCTCCTCATGTCACCCAGATACTAAGTAGCCAAGCCAGGGATGTGAACTCAAATCTGCCTGGCTCCGGAGGCTGAGCTCTTAACCACTGTGGTACTTAGTTAATCACACACATGCTCAGCCTCCCAAGGGAAAAGGCAGGCGAGGGGGTGGCAAGCCTTGCCAGAAGGAAATGTGCTGAGACTTGTTAGATTTTATGCCTGGAAAGCCAGAGTCAGTGGCTGCCTGGCTCAGAATTGTACATTTTGATACATGGAAACTGACAAGCAATTAAGAGTTTACCAAGCTCAAGACTTATAAAAGGAGAGACGTAGTTCCCAGTTACAGTTATAATTTAATAGACAATATTAAAATGCTAAACACCAAGAGTTTGTTAATTGTATTATGTCAGATAGATACATATTTGAATTGATTTTTCCTCCTTAGCCTTTTTTTTTAAAGAGAGGAAATATCCATTATTTGAATGGTGTTTAAATTTTAAATCACGAGGGTATTTTTAACGGCACTGATACTTTAATGACATAAAAGGGCTTATTCTCTTCCAATGAGTAAGAAATTTACTGCCAACCAGTAACAGATTACATAATCTAGTAATAGAAATTCACTTTGACAAAAGGACATCTTAAAGAGGGAAGGAGGGCTTCCCTGGTGGCGCAGTGGTTGAGAGCCCGCCTGCCGATGCAGGGGACACGGGTTCGTGCCCCGGTCTGGGAAAATCCCACATGCCGCGGAGTGGCTGGGCCCGTGAGCCATGGCCGCTTAGCCTGTGCGTTCGGAGCCTGTGCTCTGCAACGGGAGAGGCCACAACAGTGAGAGGCCCGCGTACCAAAAAAAAAAAAAAAGAGGGAAGGAGAAAGTGGGTTTTAGACAACTTGGTGCTGACATATCTGAATCTACAGCTTAGAACTTAGATGGGCACTGAAAACTTGGCCCTCCTGCATGCCCATTGTACTAAATATTTTACACATCTGCATGCCTGTGCACGTTTCTCCAGGCCTTACCTTTATCCTGGAAAGTATGCATGTTAATAAGAGAGTCTTTGCCTAGAAATGTATATGATGATATAGAAATATAGTGCCATTTATAAGAGACATAGCATATTAAACTCAGGCATTTCTTCTTTTGATAAGTAGGACTGAAAATACATTTAACTTTATCCTTTGGGAGAGAAGTAGAGACTCCTACAGGTTATTGACCAGTTTCCTTTAACTTTCATTTGGTTGAGTGCCACAAAAATATTACTGATGATCCCAGTGGTCTGTGAGCCCCTCCAGGGCAGAGGCAATATCTTTGCCATCTTTTGTTTCCCTAGCACAATGCTTCGTATTGCAGACATTCAATAAATATTCCCTTTATTGAAATAAAATTTAATTCATAAATATATAATCTACTTGAAAAGTCTGTTATAAAAAAAGTTCAATGATTGTCCAAGTTTCAAAGTATAAAATCTGATGAGTTTAAAGCTCATTGAAATTGACCAGAAAGCACTATTTCTGTACTTTTAATCTCTAGAATGTTTGATTATAAAAATAAAAGGTATAACTTGATAATACAATTATAAATCCAAACATAGAACCATGAAAAGTGTAATTTATATTTTTACTTTATAGACAGTAGTGATTTTGAAACTAACTCCATCAGGTTACCTTGTGGAAAATGTCTTCTCTCCCTACTAGAACAAACTCAACTTTTATCTGTTCTGTTTACAATGGTCTACTGGTCCCTCTGAATTGAAAAGTCTTTCTGCGACTTGAGGTCCCACTCACCTCTTACAAGTACCCTAGGAGTGGAGTCCTTAAGGATTCTCTTACTCCGTAATTCATTCCACATATATATGTGGAGAGCTTCCTGTATTCTGCGCTGTCCTTGCAGGACACAAAGGATAAAATGTGGCCCCTTAAGCACTCCAACTCTTTGCTTGTGTAAATGAGTAACTAAAACAAAGTGTCATGGGGCCTGGTCCCACCTGGCAGAATCTAAAGGGGGCTGAGAAAAGGAAGGGCTAATTCTCCATGTGCAGTCCAGAAAGTCTTCCAGAGGATATAACACTTAAGCACATGAATTAAAAATGATTTGACGGAGTGGGCAAGGGAGATTTCCGAATAGAGAGAAATTGAGCAGAATCTTGGAAACTTGGACAATTTTGCAATAGGTCATCACAAGGAGAGGGAAGGATGGATGTGGGGGGGGGGATAGTTTTCCACTATCACGTACAAAGATTTATAGCAACTTTGATTACCATTTTGCTAATGAACTATGTAACCAGCAGACTACAGGGGGGATAGTTTAGTGTCTTCTGTATGAGAACATCAAGCCTAGCCTATTAGGGATTCTGAAAGTTGTCAAATATAATTATATCTAAGGTAGGCTAAGTAATGCTGGACAACAAATCACTGCAATATTTTAGAAGCTTACCCCAACACAAGTTTATTTCTTGCTTTATGCAGATTCTGTTGTAGGTTCTGGGATCTCCAGGACAGCTGTGCTCAGGATTGTACAGCATGCCAGGATCCTTCAGCCCTGTGCCACCTCCATCTTAATATAAACTTCCATGATTGCAGCAGCAGGGAAGAGAGCATAGAAAATCCAGCACTGGCCCTTAAGTGATTCTACCAGGAAATGAAACATTTCATGTCTGCTCACATTTACTTACTAAAGCAAATTTACATCATGATACCTAATTTCAGTGGGGTGGAGAGTATAATCCTCCCCTACACCTAAAACCAGAAAGAGGACAGAAAAAATGGGTAAGCACTCCAAATGCCTTCAGCAGTTATGAAATGTTATGCTAGGGTTTTATGGTCAGATTAGATTAATGGAGTTAATAAAATTACTAGCATGCCATAAACTAAGGCTGAAACTAAAGTTTAATCTTCATCTGGTGATTGAAAGCTACAGACTTTAAGTAGTTTCACTATTACTCAATGTTTACATTATTGTCTGTGTGAGCAACTGTAAAAGCTAGTCATTCAGAGGCATAACTGATTCATGAAATTGTTTAAACTGTGTTTAGACTAAAATCCAGATGGATTTAAATGAACTGATTTGATTAATATTAAGTAAAATATTAAAAAGCAACTTTTTCATATATGGTTCTGATATTGTAATCCAAATAAGCTACTTTTTTTTTCTTTTCATATGTAGAGATACACTGAAAGGCATATATTATGCACAGGAAGGAATAAATACTGATGTCTGTCCATAAGAGACAAATGGCATATTACTAAGTATTTAGTATGTTACTTCGTTTCAGCAATCTTTTTGGTTGCTACAATGGATATATACCTTAAAGAGCATTTAGTCAAACATTGGTCCTAAGAATCAATTTAATTTTTACCACCTACCAAATATTATTCTATCAACTGGTTGAAGGGGCTAACACAGATGTGTTACATGATGCTAATACCACAGTAGAGCCTCTTTTAGGACGCTCTTTCACTTAACCTCTCTACTACAGTTTATTGAAATATTTTAATTTTTAAACCGTAAAGTTAATTTCTTAATTAATTTCACGTTATTTTTTCTGAACGCAAGCTTTTAGACCCGTCAAAAATGGCTTGCACCTTACAACAATTGGCACGTATAATAACATAAAGGTATGCAAATATACCTGTTTGTCAGGTGTAAAGAATCACGTAAAGAGCATGCACGTGGGAACTAAAATGTATAAACAAGTACACGGTTGTCTAAGGGATTCCTTTCTTCCCGTAAAACTTTCAAGAGGTGTATAAAACCTATCATTCGATTCCTAGTTTACAGATTGTCATCAGACATAATATTGTCCGGTCACAGCTGTTACAGGCTTAAAACAAAGAAAGAAAGAAAGACATATACGTCTGAAGACAGGGCAACCTTAAACCTGCCACCAATTAGATCACAGTGTCACAGGTGTGCTTTTAGCAGAATAGCAACCTTAGAGGTCAGGTCGGGGGAGGGGAAGCACCCTGGACGGGGAAGGTCAGACTGAAGGGAGGCAAGCTGCAGGCCCTGTTCCGCCAGTTTCTCCCGGCACTTCCGCGGCGCCCGGGTCCTCCCCTCCGCTCCTCGCAGGGCAGGTACCCTCCCTTCCTCCCCACCTGTACGGCTGGGGAGCGCCGGGCTTCCCGAAGCGACGCCCTAGCGGTGGGAATGGGAACACGCTGCGCGGGAGCCTCCGTTCCGTTCGGCTTCCCCAGCTAGACCCCAAAGCCCCGAAGCCCCGGGGGAAGGAAATTACCACTCGCCCACCCCCGCCTCGTTTCTCTCTCCGGCTCGCTGCCTGTCTCGCTCCGATGCCGCCGAGCCCCGTCGCCACTTCTGGGTGGAGGTCCGGCGGAGACAGCTGCGAGCTCCCGGGCTCCGGGGAGGGAAATGGGGCAGGGTGAGTCAGCCGGCCCGGGGAGAGGCTCTATCGCGCCCGGCACCCGCCCGCGGGGTAGGGGAGGCGCTGGGCTGAGCTCGCGGAAAGGCTGCCGCTTTCCCCTTCCTCCCAGTCCCGGCTTGAGAGCCGAATGCGAGCGCGCGGGCCGGGGGAGGGAAGAGTGGGAGAGGAAGCAGCGGGAGAGAACAGGCAGCCACTGTTTCCTTTTGAAAAGAAAGTAGGAGCCCTGGGTGGGAAAAGAGAAAGGAGCCCTCCCAACTTTTCTTTGCGAAAAGTTTTCCCAGGGCGTTTTGTTTGAGAAGCCCGGGATCGCGCTGCCACCTTGGCGGCTGTGCCTGTGCGCCTCGCCCCTCGCCCCGCTCCTCCTCCTTCCAGCCTGGGTAGCTCCGCTCCCTCCCCAAGAGGCGCCAAATGGCTACCCAGTAACCCCACGGGGCGGGGGCTGCAGCGCCGCCTCCAGCCGCCGCGGCTCCCGGCAGCCGGTAGACCCTCCGGCGGCGCTGCGCCCGCGGGCTGGGAGCCGGGCCCGCAGGTGGAAGCGCACCCGGGAGGCGGGCGGGTTGGTCCAGGGCTAGGGGAGGCTCGGGCGGGCTCTTGACGCGCGGCCAGCCCCGTTCAGGCCTCGGGAAAGCGTGCGTCCCGCCCTGACCCGCCGGCCTCTCCCACTCCAGCAGTGACGCGCCGCCTAGGAGCCGGAGCCCGCGCAGCGCCCCGCAGGGCGATGGACGGCCGAACCCAGCGCGCGCAGGACGTCCCGGCGGCGTTCCCGCCGGCGACCCCCGCAGGGTAAGCCTCGAGCGCCGCTCCACCGCCGCTCACTGGCGAGGGCGAGGGCGAGGGCAGCCGGGCCTCCACACGGTCACCTGGCTGGCAGGTCGCCACCCCGCCGGCGGCCAGATTCACCCGCCGCAGAACACGCGGACGACGAGGCTGCTTCCTCCCGGCCTCCTAGGAGGCCGCCCGGGATGGGGGTCGGGTAGTTTTTGATTGCTTTCCTACCGGGGCTGCTCTGAGTTGCTCAAGGGCAGCTGAATGCCAGGAATTGGGTAAGGAGTCCGGGAGCAAAAATGGTAACAAAGGGCCCCTTGTTGGGGCTCTGGGCGAGCGGCGGGACGATACCTGTTAGTGAGCTCCTGGGAAGGGGAAAACAGTTTTCTTGGCCCGTGGATGAGGCCCAGCAGGTGGAGTGTCAAGGTGAATGTAAGGAAGGGGCTTTCTGCGAGAGGGTGGAGGGCGACAGGAAGGTGTGCCAGCTGTCAGCCCGCATGACAGTTCCGGGACACGGCCGGGTGCGCGCCTCTGATTGTGGCCAATTGCTAGTGCCAAAGCCTAGCGCAGTCAGACCGCCAACACACGATTACTTTTCTTAGTATCCTCACATGTTTAGGTGAGATTGGAGTGGAAGGGGCTGTCACATGGTGAGTTAATATTAAATGGAGCACGTCTTCCTGCCAGATATGCTAATAATCACCTTGCTAAGCGTTTGGGTAAATAGTAATGAGAACAGGTAGTTCTGCAAGAGATGGGAAGAACCTGAAAATAACCTTCGTCTTGGTAAACAGTGAAGGCTTAACATGGGCGCTAGTTGAGCTCCTGAAGTGGGAAAACCCTTTGGTGAAGTGTAACTTTTTCCTACAAGTGTACCCCCAACTCAGTTTCTTTTCTGATAGTTAGTTAATCCAAGCACAGAAATGCACTCGAGAATATGAACATTTCAGAAAAGAAACGTTAAGGAAAAAGCGACTTTGTAGCTGATGAATGAGATTTGTACAGTCTTCCTGATTTGAGAATAGAGAAGTCATTTTTCCCTGGAACATGACACACGTTTCCTTAGAAGCAAGTCACAGCATGTTTATTCATCAGAGACCATGCGAACATTGGCAGATGTCTAGAGGAAACATGGAAAAGTCTCAAAGCAACATGACTAATATAAAAGATATTTAGTATAATGCTTACGTAGAGGAAACGCGTAGTGTATGAATTAATTCTTTCATTTTGTTCCAGTTAGTTATCTTCTCCCCTCTGCAAATAGCCATATTTCTGTTGACTTCCGTTTCTATTCTTTCCCCAGTTTTTCATTATTTAGATATTATCATATATTCTTTCATATATTATCACATTAGGATGTATGAGGAAAGAAATACATTGGCAGGAAGATATTAATTATAAAAGCATGGACCTCTAAATGGAGCTGCAGGAATACTGAAATGTACTCAGGTACCCCAAAATAAGATAGTATTAGACTGGTGGATTTAAAAATGGATTAGATTAGGTACTATTTAAAAAAAAAGAAAAGAAAAAGAACCCAGCATATGCACATACACAAAATACACGAATGCACTTGAGTGTTTAGAAATCATATAATACTTCTGAGTAAAATAGGTGAGAACAGATGGCTCTGACATGAAGGAAACGGAAAGAGCTTTCTAGTGATAAGCACAACTATAGTAAGACACCTTGGATCTTACTTTTGAGGATTTAAAGGTTAAACCGAAATTCTTTGCTTCAAAAGAATGTACAAAACTGCTTTATCTAATTTCTCAAATATGAGGAAAATACTTTTTAGAAATTTGCCCTTCCCTCTCCAAATTTAAGGAGAGGCATGTGGAAAAATGCTTCAACATCTTATCTGAAATAACCCCCCCTCCCCCCGTATCATTTTACTTTGCATTATTCAGAGACGTTAACAATATCTGAAAGGTATAAACATGAAAAGAAAAATTACTTCTCTACTTCGTCTTCTTTCACTTGTCTGTCTTGTCCCTTTGGCATATCCCAAGTGCCTATTATATAATATTTATTGAATATTCATTATTCAACATTACTGTTGTTCTTTTTCTCAAAACCCCAGAACATTAAAAAGGTTTTAATTGTGGGAAACAAGAATTATCCTAGATATAAGGTTTTGGGAGGTGGCAGGGAGCAGTCCCAAGCAATATGTTATAATAAAATGTTAGATTTGGAAAGTAAATTCTTTACTATAAAACTAATTAAATCATGACTCATTAATAGCCTATGAGGCCTACTTTAGACCTTATCCTTGGATATTACTGCTCTAAAGAAGCCGTCTGTATGTAATTTTCCAAGTTTTACATCCTTGTAACATGTCATTTTAAAGAAATTTAGTGCAACTCCTTATTTTACAGATGAGAATCTGAAGCACAGACAGTGATTTTTACAGAAGGCCCAGAGCAAATTAGTGGCAAAACCTGAAGGAAAACCCAGGATGTTAGTTGCCGAGTTCATTGCACTAATTGCTTTTAATCTTTTCCAGACCACAATATGATAAATTTCAGCTGAGTACCTTATTTCGAACTACTAGTGTTGGTGTTTTTACTTGCCAAAACACACGCACACATATATTTTTTTAATGGTAGAATTTTTTTTTTGGCTGCGTTGGGGCTTCGTTGCTTCGCGCAGGCTTTCTCTAGTTGTGGCGAAATGGGGCTCCTCTTCATTGAGGTGCACGGGCTTCTCATTGCGGTGGCTTCTCGTTGCAGAGCATGGGATCTAGGGCGTGCGGACTTCAGTAGTTGTGGCACATGGGCTTAGTTGCTCCGGGGCATGTGGGGTCTTCCCGACCAGGGATCAAACCGTGTCCCCTGCATTGGCAGGTGGATTCTTAACCACTGAGCCATCAGGGAAGTCCCGAGATGACATTTTTAACTCTTTGAAATTTAAATGTCAAAAGTGTAGTTGACCTTGCTTTGAGGCACCTTAGTGTTTTGATTCTGAAACAAATTATCAGGCATGGTTCCGGTATAAAAGCCTATTTCTTTATAATTTTGCAGAATTGTAACTATGGAGTTAATTGAAGGCATAGTAAAAATTAAATGATTTAGCAGCTGCTTTCTTAAGCTTTTATTTGGATACATTATTGGTTCTAAAGTTGTACTGATTGTATAAACTGAGTTCTTGTTAGCTAACATTTACTGGCTACTTAGAAGTTGAATGCCTTAGCTGAGGTTTTAACATAATCACCTGAGTATCTTTTAAAACAAATACCCATGGTCTCACACTCCTACCTATTCTAATTTTAATTGGCCTGGTAGGGGACAAGGGCATGGAGAATTTTAAAATGCTGCTAGGTGATTCTCATATGCAGCCAGATCTGAGAACCATTGATTAAGTCGGTATCACCAGCTGAGAAGGAGATGAAGCCATAAATGGAATGGAGGCTGCTATTTAACATTTTTAGGAAACTCATGACTAACTTTCAGCTTTATTTTGCCTTTTGAAAGATTCCATTTAGGTGCTCTATGGTACTGTTTAAAAAAAATTTTTTTTTTTTTACTCCTTTTTGAGGAAGTATGTTAACTCCATTTTATGATTTTGGAACTGAGGCTCAGAGAGCTTAATTAACACATTCAAGGCCATACAACACTAAGGGATGCAAGAATAGAAACAAGGTCTGATACCCAAACCTGTGCTCTTCATCACTAGGCCTGTTACCCAGGATGTTTGCTACCATGGATTATACTGAATGGATTATTTAAAGAGGCTTTATAGATGCATTGTCTTGATTCTTCTTAAAATTATATTTATAGTATATTAAAAAAAAACTCCTACAAAATCAAATGCATATAAAAAAACCCCAATGCCTAGCATTTAAAAGGAACTTAATTATTTCTTTAAAGTCATAATTAACATTTTCATGTGTTTAGGTTGATTTAACATAGTAAACTGACAGCCATTTTGTCAGATGACATTATGACATAGCTGTACTTATTTTTGCTCTTAGGCAGCTATTAAATTTATTATAGCTTAATTTCAAAAGTAGGATTTTTGACCAAATAAGAAAAATGAAATTGTTTATTAAGACAGTGCCTAGATATTTTGTTCAAAGTCTAATGTCCTCTGAATGTGTTAGAGGATAATTTAATAACATTATCACCTAACCTTATTATTGAAGTGCCAATTGTATTTATATAATAATAAATGCCACGCTTTATGTTACTGAGACAACTGCTCTTATGTAATTAATTAGTCAAAACTTGTGAGCCCTTATTTTATATAAAACACGTTTTTCTAGGCACTGGGAGATTGCCTAGAAATTCTGATCTTAAGAGCTTTATTTTAAAAAACTATCTGTAACTATGCAGGAAGAAAAAGGAGGGAAGGTGCTGTTAGTGTAGAAGTGGTACTTTGATATTAACCTTAAAAGCATATTATGGATATGCTTAGGACTTAAAATGCAGTATCCTAGCTCATTGGTCAGCAAACTTAGACTGAGCAAACTATGTCCAGAAGGTTGAAATGGACCCTCTACCTGTTTGTCTTTTATTCTTTTCTCCAATTTTTTAAATTGTGGTATAATTTACATAAAATTTAACATGTTAACCATTTTTAAGTGTATAGTTCAGTGGTATTAAGTACATTAACATTGTTGTGCAACTGTCATTACCATCCGTCTCCAGAGCTCTTTTCATCTTGCGTAACTGAAACTCTGTACCCATTAAACACTAACTCCCCATTCTCCGCTCCCCCCAGCCCCTGGCATCCACTGTTCTACTTTTGATCTGTATGATTTTTGACCACTCTGGTTACCTCATATAAGTGGAATCAAACAGTCTTTGTCTTTTTGTGACTGGATTATTTCATTTATTATAATATCCACAAAGTTCATCCATGTTGTATCATATATCAGAATTTACTTCCTCTTTGAGGCTGAGTAGCATTCCACATATTGCTTATCTATTTATCTGTCAATGGACACAGGTTGCTTCCTGTATTTTAGCTGTTGTGAATAATGCTGCTAGGAACATGGGTGTTCACATATCTCTTTG